AATTACATTTTCCCCGCCATGTCTTTGTAATATGAGTATTTATTTTACCCCAGTATATTCAATGGAGCTTCTGCGCTAGCCTGCCGATTCTGATTGGCGCGTGCGAGTAAACAGCTTTTTGTCTCGTTTTACGCTTGAGCAACTAAATGAATGCCAAAGTTTATTTAACTGAATGTATTTTAATGACATTACAACATCGATGCTGTAAAAGGAGCCGTATAAAATGGTAAAAAGTTCACAATAACAGGCAGGCCCGGCGCCAGGAAGTCAAAACTGAGGGGGCACTTTAAATCCATAGGGGGGCACTAGACCTGGTGACTGATTTTGGTCTCTTGTTTCTTTCATTTAGGCTATTTATTCGCATTTATTATTACTTTGCATTACTGCCTAAGTTACTGACCTAAGGCAGTAATATAGGCTACGTTTTAATAGTAATAACAATACGCAGTTTCGCTATTACGAATTTTATTAACGATGGTAATGCATACCGCTTATTAATGCAGACGGATGATGGCTTCAGTGCCAAACGAGTGCTTTAAATCATATGTTATTCTCCTTATTTCCGTTTTATTTCAAATAACAGCCCTATGAATGTTTAAAGTTTTAGGTAAAGACGTCAAATTATGCCCACACATGCAAGCTGACCCACGATCAGACAATTCATTTAACCGGTAAATAAATATAGTGAAATCAGCTTAACCGAGTCATCACGCTTCACAACCAACATCAGTGTTGGGGAAAAGCTAAATGTGACAATCTAATGTCATTCAAAACAATTACTTAGTTACATTTTAAGGCATTAGTCTAGCCAGAAAAATACCTAAAAAAGATACAAAAATTCACATATTACCGTAAAAATTGGTTAAATTTTTATATGCTATATAACTTTTTTTTCATCATTTTAAATGTAAAAACAAAGATTTGTCTAAGGCTATTATAAATGTGCTTTTTTCGTGATATTGTAAACCATCATAAACCATATGTACCATAGTTTCTAGGCCTACCCGTCATTTTATTTATTAATTATTTTATTTATTAGGCCTTTTTTAATAGCTTGTTTTCAGGTTATTTTCATTTTAGGGCCATGAGCTAAGTCAAAACAAACTCGATATGTTGTATTTTAGCTCTTAAAACAGATCTACAATATATTTTATGTTGTTTAATTTTGCATGAGCAAATAGCAGTATAGCCTAAGTTACATACTTTTAAAAGATTATCATTCTGCCTACCTGCAGCGCACGAGATTTCTCGGTTGATTTGCGGTAAATCCACTTAAGCACTATACCTATTCCATTTATAACACTGCAAACTTGACTTCGCAGGCCGATCATCTTTAAACGCAAAATGCATTTATTATGTGTTATACCTTGACTGCAGTTGCATAATGGGATGTTTCTCTACGCAACTGTAAAAGTGCACTTTTCAGCAAAATGAAAGCAAACATTCAAAGAGTTCTGCGTTTTGTCAATTTTAGCTTAATTGTAATAATATTAATAATAATATTAATAAATAAATTAAAATATTATTTATAGTGTAGCCTACTGTGGGACTGTGCAGTAAACTATTTATTTTTATTAAAACATTTTTATTAGGCTACATCTTCCCGAATAACTAATAAATGACTGGCAGTTGCGTCTCTGCTAAAATTAATTTAACAGCAAATTTCTTGTGTTTTTTCCTTTTAGAGCTCAAGAGAGTTGTGTTTAAATAATTAGTTAACCAAAACATGTAATGAATTAAGCTGCTCCTATCATGTCACCCATTTTCTCCCTTGTGAGTTGAGTGCGCCTCCATCGCCGTGTGCGCGTTTTAAAGGCTATTTACGGGCGCACCAGACCTGACGCGGGGACCGGATCTCTGGACTATAGGACTAGCTTTAACCTCACCATTTTCATAATTTAATTGCTATGTCATATATTTTAAAATATTTAAATGTGTGTTCTGAAGGTTGGAAGGACGGGAGTGTTAATAATTAATGACAGAAAGAATTTTCAGTTTGAGTGAACAATCCTTTATAAAAACTGGGGGGGCACAAACTCTGTCTGAGGGGCAATGCCACCCTTTGCCCCCCCGTAGCGCCGGGCCTGATAACAGGTCACCGTAAGTTTACCAGTATAGGAAAAACACTAGCTCGGCATATACCCTGTTGAGTTGTCATATAACAAAGCCTTGTAAGCACGTTTGATACTAACCCTGTGTCTGAATATACCTACTTCCACAGTAGTAGAATCCACATCAGTATTTAAGCCAAACAGTACATATGTCCGTTTACTGTATTCATAAAACAGTAAAGGTGAAACAGGATTAAACAGAACAGGGTTCTCCAAACATAGTCTTGAGGCCTGTGGCACAAAGCGGGTTTGGGTTTTTACTCAGGTAAGTTTGTGTTTAGTTTGAGAAAATTAAGTTTTTGGGCTCAAGTATGTGGGTTGGTTTTGATTGGATTTCATCACCACGGTAACTTACTTTTTTTGAGTTAGAGATCGCAAACCCAAATATGCCCAATCAGCTGTGAGTAAAGTGACATGTGTGATGCAATAATGTTAAGCTAGTTTTAAAATTTTTTTTGCTCCAAATTAAAGTCTTTTACAATGAAATAATTTCTGAGTCAAACTAGTCGTTTGTTGCTATTTGTATTATATTAATTGTATTTATTTATATATTCAAAAAGTTTTAATTGTCAATTAATAATATAGCTGGCGACGCAGTGGCGCAGTAGGTAGTGCTGTCACCTGACAGCTAGAAGGTTGCTGGTTCGAGCCTCGGCTGGGTCAGTTGGCGTTTCTGTGTGGAGTTTGCATGTTCTCTCTGCGCTTGCGTGGGTTTGCTTCAGGTGCTCTGGTTTCCCCCATAGTCCAAAGACATGCGCTAAAATTGTCTGTAGTGTATGAGTGTGAATGTGTGTGTGTGTGGATGTTTCCAAGAGATAGGTAGCGGCTGGAAGGGCATCCGCTGCGTAAAAACGTGCTGGATAAGTTGGCGGTTCATTCCACGGTGGCGACCCCGGATTAATAAAGGGACTAAGCCGAAAAGAAATTGAATGATAATATAGCTTTAAATTAAAATGTACATTTAAATATTCAAATAAGTTAGCTTTATAAAATTGGGGTGGCTCAGTGGCTAGCACTGTCACCTCACAGCAAGAAGGTCGCTGGTTTGAGTCTCAGCCGGGCCAGACGGCGTTTCTGTGTGGAGTTTGCATGTTCTCCCTGTGTTGGCGAGGGTTTCCACCGGGTGCTCCTGTTTCCCCCACAGTCGAAACAAATGCGCTATGAGTGAATCGAATAAACTAAACTAGCTGTAGTGTATGAGAGTGTGTGTGTGAATGAATGTATATGGGTGTTGCAGCTGGAAGGGCATCAGTTGCGCAAAACATATGCTGGAATAGTTGGCGGTTCATTCTGCTGTGATGATGCCTGATAAATAAAGGAACTAAGCCAAAGGGAAATTAATGAATGAATGAATGAATGGGGGGATTTTGTAAGGGTTTGAATCATGTATACAAAACAATAAACAAGTCAAATAAACAGCACTTTAGGGTTAAAACAGCATTCAGGTGGAGAAAATATCTAATGTAAAATGTAAAATAACACTTTATAGTGTACATTGTATTAATTCTGTAAATTTATCCTTCATTAATGTTGTACTTTTGGGTGGCACGGTGGCTCAGAGTTTAGCACTGTCGCCTCACAGCAAGAAGGTCACTGGTTTAAACCCCGGCTTGGCCAGTTGGCATTTCTGTGTGGAGTTTGCATGTTCTCCTTGTGTTTTCGTGGGTTTCCTCCGGGTGCTCTGGTCCCCCCCCCCAGTCCAAACACATGCGCTATAGGTGAATTGAAAAAACTAAATTGGTCGTAGTGTATGTGTGTGAATGAGTGGGAATGAGTGTTTCCTAGTACTGAGTTGCAACTAGAAAAGGCATCCGCTGTATAAAACATATGCTGGATAAGTTGGCGGTTCATTCCGCTGTGGCGACCCCTGATTAATAAAGGGACTAAGCCGAAGGAAAATTAAATAATTAAGGAATGTTGTACTTTTTTAAACCCGTATGCTTTAAACTCTCTAGAAATGCCTTTAGGGCGGCATGGTGGCTCAGTGGCTAGCACTGTCACCTCACAGTAAGAAAGTCATTGGTTCGAGTCCCAGCTTGGTCAATTGGCATTTCTGTGTGGAGTTTGCATGTTCTCTCTGTGTTGGCATGGGTTTCCTCCAGGTGCTCCGGTTTCCCCCACAAGTCCAATGACATGCTCTATACAGTAGGTGAATTTAATAAGCTAAATTTGCTGTAGTGAGTGTCTGTGAATGAGTGGATGCTTGCAGCTGAAAGGGCATCCGCTGTGTAAAACATATGCTGTATGAGTTGGCGGTTCATTCCGCTGTGGCGACCCCTGAAGAATAAAGGGTCTAAGCAGAAGGAAAATGAATGAATGAATGAATGAATGAAATGCCTTTAAAACACATGGTGTGGTTATGTTTGTCAATGACTCCACAAATCTCATGTATTCTCGACTGTTGTGTTGATTAATGATAATCCCGGCTCAACATTGCATATCTTGCATTGTGACTATTGTGGACACACACATTGCAATATCAATGCAAAAATGACATATAGTGCAGCCCTACTGCAAAACACACTTTAACACCATTATTTCCACCATAAAGAAGCTCAAATGAGATTCAGACTGGCCGAAAACTTGTGTGTATGTTTCACAAGTAAAAACGCTGTGTATGTTTTACACAGCGGATGCCCTTTGAGTAGAACGATCACCTCACAGCAAGAAGGTCGCTGGTTCGAGCCCTAGCTGGGTCAGTTGGCATTTCTGTGTAGAGTTTTGCATGTTCTCCATGTGTAGGTGTGGGTTTCCTCCGGGTGCTCCGATATCCCCCATGGTCCAAGCACATGGCTGTAGGGGAGTTGAATAAACTAAATTGGCCGTAGTGTATAAGTTGGCGGTTCATTCCGCTGTGGCGACCCCTGAAGAATAAAGGAACTAAGCAGAAGGAAAATGAATGAATGAATGAAATGCCTTTAAAACACATGGTGTGGTTATTTTTGTCAATGACTCCACAAATCTCATGTATTCTCGACTGTTGTGTTGATTAATTATAATCCCGACTCAACATTGCATATCTTGCATTGTGACTATTGTGGACACACACATTGCAATATCAATGCAAAAATGACATATAGTGCAGCCCTACTGCAAAACACACTTTAACACCATTATTTCCACCATAAAGAAGCTCAAATGAGATTCAGACTGACCGAAAACTTCTTCAAACGAGCGTGAGAGATTGCGACAGCTGGTCCTCCATCAGATCTCTCCATCTTGTGCTCTCAAACACAGAAACTGAAGGATCCAGTGACGCCATGAGCCCAGAGTCTGTTCCTCCAGACACTTTTACCCACCACCAAACCTCTCTCTTCACAGCCATCCACCTCAGTTTCTCACAATCCACCATCCACTCCCTCAACAGCTGCAGCTTCCACAGCAAAAGCTGACAGAATGGTAAACAAACCAGACAAACTCCTAGAATGCTGAGTGTTGCCAATAGGGGGCGACCACCGAAATCAAGAATGCTGTATATGTAGGGTTGACCGGATTGGTTAGTGCCACCCATAAGCCAATACACAACAGCAAATATGATATAAAGGATTGCAGCAAGAACTGGGTAGATGAAGTGTGTGAGGTGTACGGGTGTACAGGACAGAAGCAGATCTACAGCCGTCTGCACGCTGTTGATGAAGTGGATGTTGATGTTGAAGGCTGTGAGCGAGTGCTGATGCGAGGGGTGGATTATGGTCCAGTATAGAAATGAGACAGATAATGAAAAGCAGCCCATCACTGAATGAAGGAGCCACTGGAGATTGAGAGCAGTGTAGAGAGGGAGGGAGAGAGAAAGCAGAGCCTCACACTCAATACTGACACCTGCTGGAGAGAGAATAAACATCATCAAACACATGCATGGCTCCGATCCGAATGTTTTTATTCCCTACTTTTAAAAAAGACTTTTACTCTGCAAAATAAAACATTAAAATCAGTTGAATTTATTAATTTTTTAACATTTCAACTAGTTAATATCAGATTAAATTTGAAATAGATTCTTTTAAACTTTTTATTCATCAAAATAATCAATGTTTTCACAAAAATATGTTTACTAAAACACATTTACAAATGGTACAATAATAAAAAAACACATCATTAAACACATGCATGGCCGAGAGGGGAATATACGTTCAATCCTTCCTATTAGTAATATTATAAATTGTAAAACTAAATTATAAATAGTTTCTAGGGTGTCTCAGTGGCGCAGTGGGCAGCACAATGGGACAGTTGGCATTTCTGAGTGGAGTTTGCATGTTCTCCCCATGTTGGCGTGGGTTTCCTCCGGGTTCTCCGGTTTCCCCCACAATCCAATGACATGCATTATTGGTGAATTGAATAACCTAAATTGGCTGTAGTGTATGTGTGATTGAGTGTCTATTGGTGTTTCCCAGTGATGGTTTGCAGCTGGAAGGTCATCCTTTTGTAAAACATATGCTGGGTAAGTTGGCGGTTTAATCTGCTGTGGCGACCCCTGATTAATAAATGGATTCTAAGGTGTCACGGTGGCGCAGCGGGTAGAACGATCACCTCACAGCAAGAAGGTCGCTGGTTTGAGCGCTAGCTGGGTCAGTTGGCATTTCTGTGTAGAGTTTTGCATGTTCTCCACGTGTAGGTGTGGGTTTCCTCCGGGTGCTTCGATTTCCCCCACGGTCCAAGCACATTGCTGTACGGGAGTTGAATAAACTAAATTGGCCGTAGTGTATGTGTGTGCATTTGAGAGTGTATGGATGTTTCCCAGTGTTTAAATATATTTTTAATCATCATTCATTAATTTTTCCTTCGGCTTAGTCCCTTATTCAGGGGTCAACACAGCAGAATGAACAGCTAATTTATCCAGCATATGTTTTATGCAGCAGATGCCCTTTTTAGCTGCAACCCATCAATGCAAAACCTTTTAATCATCAAAAGACTCGAAAAAACAAACGTTGAGCTATGCTAATGCGATATTTTTAAAGGGATAGTTCACGCCAAAAGTAGATATTCTGTCATTTACCCACAGTTGAGTTGTTCCAGTTTGAGTGTTTAGTTCTGTTGAACACAGTAGATATTTTTGAGCAATGATTAAGAAACCCTTAAAACCCCTGAAAACAGATGTACATGGATACCTTCCCCAAGAGTTTATACCTGTCAACATTGGGATGTGAAAGTAATGGATACTGCTACACCCCACCAACCAAGTTATCAAATCTCAATAATCTTTTCTTTACTGTATAATTTAAACATTCTGATTGGATTAATCAATCTCTCATTTAGATTTTTCATTTGATTGCATTAAATAACAGAGGTGGCACTTTAAAAATGCACAGATCTATGATGGAAGCATTTGATTGCTTTGCTAACTGTTTAAGCTCATTTAGGAAAACATTTGTTGTTTAAAAGAAAAACCACAAAGATCTACATGTTTAGATATTATCATTATTATGTGTATATGTCTGTTCAAACATGCAGCCAAAACCCAGAGTGTCCACTTTCACCCCACTTCAAATCAAGCGTACAGAATCCATTTGGGAAACGGCGTCTATTTATGAATATGGAGCGCATACCTGTCAACCCTCCCGTTTTTCCCAGGATTCTCTCGTAATTTTCAGTTCAATCCCGATATCATCCTGTAAAGGTATTTTGCCGTATTTTCAGTCTTTCTCTGAAGGTTGGCAATAAACATTAAAAAGCCGATCCTCTCTATACGAAACACATACCGCCAAACCACCAGGGGCCGCCTCTTGCTCTTAAATTTGAGTCTGTTCTGTGCTTTTGTTTTATTTAGGCATGAAAACACTTTGAAATAAACATAAAAATGGCAGGACTCCCTTTCCTTTACATTACAGGTGCCGTCGCCCCTGCAATCTTTAAAACAGTCATATAGCGGTGCGTGACAGTCAGCTGAAGTGCTCCATAGTGATAAATAGACGCTGTTTCCCAAACAGATACTGTAAAGTTTGGAAAGCAATTGAATGCTTTCATTATAATGTTAGATGTGTGCATTTTTAAAATAACACTTGTTATTTTATGTAATCAAACGAAAAATCCAAATAAATAAGAGATTTATTTGGCGCTCTTAAATCAGAATGTGTAAGTTGTACAGTGAAGAAACGATTAATGAGATTTGATAGCTTCATTCTATTTCATTATAATAGCTATTAATTTTAATGAGCTGAACTCTTTGCTAATTTATTTGCTGCTAATGTATACTTTTTATTTTTCTTTTGTAAATAATAATAATAATAAACATATTACTGACCGTTTAACTGTTTATTTACAATTAAACATCTCTAGAAGAACATATTTAGTAATTTGGGGATTTTTTTAAGGGTATCCCTTATTATGGTGGGCAGATCCCCTATTTTCACATCCCAATGTAGACAATGTCTGACAGTCATGCACCGCTACATGAACGGTCTACTTTGGGGATTGCATAGGAGGGGCAACATTGCTTGTAATGAAAATGAAGGACATCCCACTGTTTTCAGATTTATTTCAAAGTGTTTTCATGACTAAATCAAACGAAAGCACAAAAAAAGTTTCATATTTAAGAGTCAGGATGCCCCCTGGTGGTTCGGCGGTATGGGTTGCGTGCAGACCATTTTAATGTGGTCATGTCATTGGCCCATGAACAGTTCCTGCTTGCTAAACTATTTCATATCTCCAATAAGAGGCAATTCAGTCATAACTTAATGTTAAAACAGCTTTTATAACATTATTTATTAATATGTGGCTCTAGTTGGATTCTTGGAAGCTATGGAAATTAAAAATGAAAAACAGGAAATACGTTGGGACCATTGTTTTTGTTTACATTTGTCAAAATGGTCTATAGGGAGGATCGGCTCTTTGAGGATTATTGCCACCCTTCATAGAAAGATAAAAAATATGTGATTCTGGAAAATGAAATATGAAATACTGGAAAAAACCTGTGCAGGATGATAGCAGGACAGAAATGTAAAATACGGAAGAAACCCCAGGAAAAACAGGAGGGTTGACATGTATGCAACAGTCATCATCTTTTGTAAGTAATCTGGGTGAACTATACCTCTAAGTGACTTCATGGTTGCACTGTGTGTTTCTGAGATGCGATCAGTAATGGATATCTGTAATCAGCAATGCATTGTGAAGCCGTTTACCTCTTTTCCTTCTGTGAGAGCAGCATCTGATCTCCAGGAAAGCCCAGGCCAGATTACAGAAAGCAAGCAGATAGTAGATCACCATCAGACAGTAGGAGATATGGCTGAGAAAAATGAAGAATTTAGGAGTGTTGAAGAGAAGAGCCGTGTAGATAAACCAGCTGAGGCTGTAGACCAGCATAAAACATCTGTATACAAGCCACAACACTGGAGGAATATCCCACTAGAAACAAAACCACACACATATTTAATTTCACAAACATGCATGAGTTGGCATGATTGCATGTTTTAATGCTTTGCTAGCATGATAAATCATGTTGGTAACATGTTTCTACAATGTTTAGCTAGTTACTAGGCTAACAAATTAGGCTAACAAACAGGCAGCACATTACCCTGCTTAAAAACTTGCCACAAATCTAAACAATTAGACAAAGCATTGATAAGAGTTGCTAACTGCTAACTGTTAGCATATTTCTGATATATTATTTTAACATTTGGCTGACCTGCTTTAGCATGGCCTTCATCATGTTTTTATTATGTTAACATACTACTAGCTTAGCACATTACCACAATATTTAATGTAATAATGTGTTTCAGCATCATGATAGCAAGAATTACCATGCTGTTAGCATATTTCTGATAGGCTATATCATTTTAGCGTTTGGATGACATGCTTTAGTGTAGCCGCTATCATGTTTCTATCATGATTAACATACTACTAGCCTAGCACATTACGACAATATTTCATGTAATAATGTGTTGTAGCATCATGTCAGC